TTGGAGGGGTAGAGGAAGTTGCCAGACAGAATCTTGTAGGATGTCAGCCCAGTCTGTATCTTAAAGGATATGACTCATTTGGTGCCTAATGTCTTATGATGTGACCAGCAGTAGTCCATGCAGATGCCAAGATACTGCACAAGCCACGTGGGTTTTGTATCAAAAATACAACAGCAGGGTTAGAATAAACTGCCCCATGCTTTAGAGATCTCTGTCTTAGTTTCCTAGAAAGTCAAGGTAAGGAAAATGATGGAGTGGGTGGGATAGTATTTGTCTGTGATGCTGAAGAGGTGAGAGAAATTGGGTGAGAGAACAAGTGTATGTAGGTATGGAATGGGAATAATACAGAAGAGGGGGAAGAAGGAGAGGGGCTGGGTGGATGGAAGTTTAGGGAAGAGGAGAGATCAAGGTGCGAGTGGGTGCAGGAGAGGCAGAACTTCTGCGGTCAGAGTGGATAAGAAGTGAAAGCAGAGAGGCAGCATTGGGGTTGGTGGTGTCCCTCACCTCATAACTTTATTTTTTGTTTTATGTTTGTAGCCTAAGAAGAAAAGTAGAGCACAGGAAATTCTGCACTGGAGGACTCAGTTTGGTGGTATAATGTTCTCAAAAGATGAACCTATTGCTCTCTTATCTGATGCTACTGCAATCATGACCCATAACACCTCATGCCACATAGACTCAGAGTTCCGATACACTCTTTTTACCATCTTCTACAGTGTTATCTTCATTCTGGGCTTCATTGCCAACTGCTATGTGCTGTGGATTTTCAGTCATGTTTACCCTGCAAGAAAACTCAATGAAATCAAGATAATCATGGTGAACCTAACAATAGCTGACCTGCTCTTCTTGGTCACACTGCCCCTGTGGATCATTTACTATTATAACCAAGGGGACTGGATCATGCCAGGATTTCTGTGCAATGTGGCAGGCTGGTTATTTTTTGTTAATACTTACTGTTCTGTAGCCTTCTTGACAGTCATCACGTACAACCGATATCAGGCAGTGACCAAGCCGATCAAAGCTGTTCAATCCAGCACCCGAAGAAAGGGTATCTACATGTCAGCAGCTATCTGGATTGTGATAGCAGGCAGTACTTTGTACTACCTTTTTGACTCTGGCGTTACAGAAGAGAAAATTGGCTCTAGCAATGTCACACGGTGTTTTGAGCGCTATGACAGCGCTGGAGACAACAAGTCCATCCTTGCCATCCACATGATCATATGCATTGTATTCTATGTCATTTTCCTGGTTATTCTGGGGTTTAATGGGATCATTATCAGGACACTGCTTTCCAAGTCGGCACAGCCTCGACGGAGTGTCCATGTCAAGCAGAGGGCATTTTGGATGGTGTGCACAGTCCTGGCTGTGTTTGTCATATGCTTTGTACCTCACCATCTTATCGATCTCCCTTGGACCTTGACAGTCCTAGAAGTGTGGCAGAAGGAAAACTGTCTACTCCGCCAGCAGCTCAATGATGCCCATCAGGTGACGCTGTGCCTGCTGAGTACCAACTGTGTGCTGGACCCCATCATTTACTGCTTTCTTACCAAGAAGTTCCGGAAGCATCTTTCAGAGCATTTTAAAACCATGAAAGGGAGTCGCAAGTGTTCCAAACAAATCACTGAAACTGTGATTGAGGGCACTATACCCCTCACGTACATCCCTGGTGCAACTATCAGAAACTAATGGGATCCTACTTTTGACCGAGCCAGCTGAATTACTGAGATCAGCAGCTACCTCTCTCCCTAAAAAAAAAGAAAAGAAGAACTGAAATGCCCTGGGGGCTGATGGAAGCACCTTCTGCTATGAGCAGGCATTTCATAGTTAACTGAGCGGAGCTCAACCACTTTGTTTTTCTGGGAGGAAAAATGTCATTGACTTTTTTTCTCTAGGGAGCTCCAGAAATCTGAGCATTTCTGGAAATACCCATTAACCCATCTCAAGTTCTGGCACCACAGACTGGACTCATATCCATGTAGGTATGAGCATAATGAGATGCCAGCACCACGGGGCGACTCAGCTTGCCCCTGCCATGGAACATAATACTTGAGTATCTGAAAGATCAATGACTGAACAGAAACCTTAAAATTCATGTGATTTTCACTACTGGTGGTTTTTGTATGTCTTACTACTCAAAAGGGTAATGTTGCTATGTACTGTTAAGGAGCTGCTGCATTCCTCTAAGGTGCTTGCGTCTCTTTGTATTGTAGACTGAATGCAAACTTTTAACTCCATCCAGCACCTTAAACTGGCAATAGCTAACTGTCCTTTTCATAGTGCACCAGGTTAAAAAGGGCTGAGTGGGGAAAAATTTGGAACCAGGGACTGAGACCCAGGTGTTCCTCAAGATGCTATGAGATGAGTGAAACTTGGAACGTTAAGGCAGGACAACCACTGAACTGCTGGATACAGCTCGAGGTGTAAGCTCAAGCACTGAGTCAAGGGTGAAAGTGCTCCTGCCCCAAAGACTATGGCTATATTCTGTATGGGTCCACACAGAGCTGGCTCTTCTGTAGGTGGCAGACTGTTGCAAATCATGGGACACTTCAGTCTCATGGGCTAACCCTGGATTGCTTAACAGTGAAATTCCCCCTAGCAAAGGAAGTGGAACAGGGTGGGGAACATGGTTTAGGTGGCACATGAATTTATGGTTTCTCTATTTTGGAAAATCTTTGTAGCTGGTAACGGAAACATTATTTACCACATTGGAAATAGGACGAGGTATTTATACTCATTAATAGTGATTTGGTAGTATCAGCCAGAGGACTGCTGACAGATAAGTTTGAGTGGCAGACTCCAAACCTTTCCAAATATAGGGTCACCACTGGTATCTGATTTATGTAACTAAAAAAAGCTGAATAAAATAAGGCATGCCTTTTACTTCCTCTAGGTTAGACTTCTGTAATGAACTGCTAAATAAAGGCTACCAATAAAGAGTGTGTTGATGCTTTTTCTAGAGTTAATATGGCACCTAACAGGTTAGTCGGGTGAACCATTCTGAGTTCTTAGCACTCATGCCCAAAGCTTCCATGTTCACGTGAACTGAGATACAAAGCAACAGTGATGAATTTTAACTCTTCAAGGATCTGAGATCTATGTTCTGGAAGAATATCCTCTCATATCTATGATCCACTGGGGCAAGGGAGATTGGTTAAGAAGCGCTTCCAACAAGAAGATGAAATGAAAGTCCTCAGTTTTTAAAACTTAATTTATTTAATGAATCCAACTTTATCAAATAACACATTTAAGGTTTAAAAATACATCCAATCCCCTTATTTATACATAAAGGCAGATATATTTTGTTCATCAGCAGTGTTCCTTAACCCAAATCAATGTCCACAGAGGAATCTTCTTTTCCTCTTTCTTTCTTTCGGTCTCTGATGGTTACTTTACAGTTTGATTTTAAGCCATGTGGTTTCTTCAACTCTCTATATAAAATTTGCTTAATAATTCACCCCCTCCCCGTTATCTCAGAATTCTGCATAATACAAAGCTCACCATCTCCTACTTATCTAATATTTTTAGATTTTGAGTTTGTTTCAGATTTGTTCTTAACTGTTAGCTCACAGAACTTGCATTTTCCTCCCAGTAGAAATAAATGAGCTGAGCCAAGAAGATTCCATAAGATCACAGGAAAGTAGGGATGGAAGAGATCTCACAAGATCAGCCAGTCCAGCCCCTGTTGATTGTCCCCAACTAAACCATTACATTCAAGTGTCTGTCCAATCTTGCTCTTGAAAATTAGTAAGGATGGAGATTCCACAATTTCTCTAGGTGTTCTGTTCCAAAGTTTGACCACCATCATAGTAACTTCCTCCTAATCTGCAGCCTGGATTTCCTCTGCTGGAGTTTGAGGCCACTGTTCCAAGACCTGTCTCCTATGGCTACAGAGGAAAGCCCATCACCCTTCAAATCCCCCCTCAGTCTTCTCTTCTCCAAACTGAATAGCCCTAGTTCTTTAGCTTTTCCTCACAAGTCTTGCTTCCCAGACCCCTAATCATTTTTGTGGCTCTCTGCTGAACTCTTTCTGATTTGTTCACATCTTTCTTGAAGTGTGGGGCCCTAAACTGGGCACGGTGTTCCAGGTGAGTGCTGAATAGAGTGCCAGCCAGTGCATCACTCAGCAGGGGTTAGGAAGGTCTGGAAAAGGCAACAAGGCTCACCCCCGTGTTGAAAAGCACAGGGGGAGCCCTCTTTAAAGGGACTCTTCAGAAAGGAACCTTGGCCCTGGTGCAGCAACAGGTGTTGTGAGGCTACAAGGTCCAAACCTCCAGTACACTGCCACAGTACTCAAGGTGGGGCCTCACCAATGCTGAACAGAATGGAAGAATCACTTCCTGTGAATTCCAAAATGAAGTCTGTTAATACAACCCCATATGTTGTTGGGCTTTTTGTGTAACAAGAACACACTGTTCACTCGCATTTAGCTTATGGTCTACTGTAACCCCTGGGTCCTTCTCAGCAGTATCATAGCCTAGTACAGGGGTTTTCGACCTTTTTTAAGGGGTGTACCCCTTCTGGGAGGTGGGGAGAACGGGCTTGCATGTGGTGGTGGTGGCGGCAGCAACGGCGCAGAATAGTGGATGGCAGTGGTGGCTGGTGCATGCAAGCTTCCCTGTCCTGTCTCCCCCCACCAAATCCCCTATGTCTGTCCAGCTGGACAACACCTGTGCAGCCTACAGAGGGGAGCTTCTGCTCTCACCCCCCACCTCTGCTCTGGGGAAGCAGCGGCGTGGGGTGGTGGGTGGTAGCACTTCGTCCCCACCCACCTGCATGTACCCCCTAGCCCCTTTCCAAGTACCCCCGGGGGTACATGTACCCCTGGTTGACAACCCCTGGCCTAGTCTATCATACCCCAGTCTATATTTGTGTATACAATTATTCCATCCCTTGTGCAGGACTTTGCACTTGTCCTGTTGAGTTCTAATTGACTGATTGCAGACCATTTCTCCAGTCCATCCACGTCATTCTGAATCCTAGTTCTACCCTCTAGTGTTTCTGCAAATTCACCCACTTTGGTGCCATCTGCAGATTTGCTAAGCATATACTCCAGCCTATCATTGAAAACATCAAAGAGTTCAACAGTACTGGATCCAGTGAAGAGCCCTCCTCCCAACTAGACATTGGGCCATTCATCACTACTTGTTGATCATGATGATCTAACCAGTTATGTACCCACCTCACAGGACTTTTGTCTAGTTTCTATTTCCTTAGCTTGTTAATGACAATGTTGTGGGAGACCATGTCAAGAGCCCTGCCAAATCAAGGTATATCACATCTACTGTTCTCCCTGCATCCAGCCTGTCACATTATTATAGAACAAAATAGAGTTGGTCAGTCATAACTTGCTCTTGCTGATTTCTCTAGGTGCTTTATAATAGAATCCTTGAGGGACTGCTTTAGGATCTTTTCAGGTATCTATGTCAGGCTGACTATAATTCTCCAGATCCTTCTTGTTTCTCTTTTAAAGATGGGAACTAAACTTTCCCTTTTTCAATCATCTGGGACCTCACCTAGCCTTCACAAGTTCTCAGAGGCAACTAATAATTGAAATTATCTCAACTAATTCCTTCACTATCCCATTTGGAAAATGGGACTTTTATACCATTGAAAGCATCTACATTGTCTAAGTAATCCCTAACTTGCTCTGCCACTACCCTAAGTGGTTTGTCTCCTTCCCTACCTTCACTGCCAACTATGCTTATCATCAGGTAGCTGACCTTATTTATGAAGACTTAAGTAAAAGAGGCAATAAATATTTTATTTTTCTCTGCACCTTCCATAATTAGAAAGTCTCCTACAAAATGCAGAAGACAGTTACAAGATGGGCACCACTCCAGTCTTTCTTCCCACCCTGGAGCTCAGCTTCCACAAGGTTCAGGTTCTTTGTAGTGCCACCACACAGTATAATTCCTATTAGGTATTAATTAAGAAGGGAAGCTGCTTACAGCTCACGAGGATGTTAATGTGGTACTCAGTTCTCTCTCAATTTCTGTTCTCTTGCCTTCAGTTTGGGTAACAGTTGTTAGGCCTTCCTGCTCCACTGTCTCTCACCCTCTTGCTTCTCGTGGTGCGCTTTGCATTTCTCCAGGCTCACTCTGGCTTTATTGCTCACTAAACCTTCTCAAGTCTGTTTTCCTCTATACTCCTCCACCCTCTGTTGCTTTCTTTCCTTATATCGGATCCCATCCTGGCTCCTGCAGGGACCTCTTCTCCCCTTGCTAGTCCTCTCTGGTCCTCCGGGTTAACTGAACAAAACCAAGCCGCCTCAGCTCTCACAGCAAAAAGAAAACACATTTCCCTTCCCCAGGGTAACTATGTCTTTTTAAGCCCTGTGCCCAGGCTTTAGTGTCCATCTCTCTTAAGGCTGTAATTCTTCCCCACCTTCCACCAGACTACTAGCTTCAGAGTAATTCCTTACATTTCTTTCTGTTGCAATGCTAGAGCTGCTGCAGCATTTCCTTTCAAAGGCTCCTTGGTACCATCAACTTTAAAGCTATCCATTCTACCATTGGAAGTTCATGCCTGTAATTCCAGTACAGTAATTACTTTTGTACTCTGGCCAAGATTTAACTGTAATTTCTTTCAAGTGACCCAGTAAATTGTCTTTCTCTGTTTCTATTTTTATTTGCTGCAGTTTCATATCTGGTAAAGGAAGTAACTTGACAATTAAGTTTATATAAGCTTGAACCTCTGTCTTAAAGGTCTTTTCTGATTCCATAGCTGGATGTACAGCTCTAGAGAGTACATCAGCAATAAATATAAATTACTTACTGTAAAAATTGAATCATACTTTTGCAGCATGAGTATCATTCTTTGAATCCTCATACTGCAATCATTTCAGTGGCTTGTTAAATAATGTTATCAGAGGTTTGTGGTCTGTTTCCGCGTAAAGAGTCTGTCCACAAATATATTGGTAAAATCTCTCACCGGCAAATAATATAATGTATCATTATATAAACAATATTCTTCTTCTCAAGCTGTGCATATCTGGTTTATATCTTGGCCAATGACTAAATGCAAAGGCCACTGGTTGCCAACTGTCAGTATATTTTTGCAAAATCAGTGCACCAACCCCTAACAGAGATACATCTGACAGTTTTTAATAGGTTTTCTAGGTGTATAGAATTTAAATAGTGCCTTTTGCATCAGCTTTTTCTTCAAAGCAGGCCATAATTATTCTTGTTCTAATCTAGCATAATTTGTTTTCATTCTTGAGGAGTATCCTCACTGGTGTTGTTTTTGCTAATGATTTCGGTCTGAATTTACCCACATCATTTAACATTCCAAGAAACCACTGCACTTCCTTTTACTGGAGATGTGGTATCATTTCAGTAGCTTTAATACTTGTGTGGTCAGGTTTCACTCCTTCAGTAGAGATGATATCTTCTATAAAAATCAGTTCTGTGATGCCCAGCATGCACTTCACTCTATTCAATTTCATATTTACAGCTCTAGTAGCTTCCAACAGCCTCCCAGAGCCTGTGATCATGTTCTTCTTTGGTGGAGCTTTGGTTGATATCATCCATAGAGATGTCCACATCAGGAATATACTCATAAATCATGTGTATGGTTTTATGGAGCACAAGCAGCACGAAAAGGTAGACACACAAATCTGTACCTTCCAAAGGGAGTACTAAATGTACATAATTTAGAGTTTTCCTGTGTGTGATTCAACTGCCAAAAACCTAAGGAGGCATCTGGTTCACTGAAAAATTACGTATTTGCAAATTGAGCCAAAATCCCTTCCCTATTTGGCAATTTAAAATGTTATAATTTGATAGCCTTGTTGAGGTTTCTCAGATCCAGGCACACACATAACTGTCAGTTATTTTTCTCCATAATATCTACCAGGTGTACCCACTGTGAAGGTTCTGGATTGTCTGTGTCACTTGCACTTGTAAGTTTCCCATTCTTGCTAACTCCACCTTCAGTCTATCGCGGAGAGCAAAAGAGCAGTTTTCTGCACATCTGACTAACGGGTGGCACCAGCTTATTTATCTGAATTGTATATCCACCTTGGAAGCAACCTAGCCCTTCAAATAAAATCTTGACATGTCTCATATTCTGGCCCTGTGTCTCATTGTACTGCAGTCACACACTTAATGAGATTAAAATTTCACAAGCTACCAGACCCAAAATTGTCGTCACCTCCTCTGCTGTCCCTGATTGCACTGCTTTCCATTCCCAAGAGCAGCCTGCAGAGGTAATGGTAAGCTGTGACTTGTTCTGGAGGATAAGAAAGTGCACAGCTGGAGCCTTTGCAGGAATGAGGACCATGAGTCTGGTTTGGATCCATTCCAGGCTCAGAAAGAGGGTCTGGGGAGGTGGGCAGGTTATGGGGGAAATGGGAGAGGACATTACAGGGGTTCTTGTTTCAGGAATTTAAATACAATCCCAAGCTACTGCTCTTCCAGCATAGTCTGCCAATCCTGGTGGGCAGGGGAGTGGGGAATGGGGGTGCAGCCTTTCCTGCAGCATCCATACCCCGTTTACAAAATTCTGGGTCCACCCATGACAGCATCATGGCTTTGCCAAGAAAGTCCAAGCATGTGGGGGTCTGGGAAAAAGGGGTTAATCCCCCAGACAGCCAATCAGCACACTGCTCTGCCTTAGCTGTCCTTCAGGAGACAGGGATGCCATAGGGCTAGAAGTGCACCAACATATCAGTCCCATATTGGATTGGCACTAATATAGGAAAAATTGACAGTATTGGAAATTGGCTTTTTTTGCCTGATGTGGCCGATAACATGGCCGATAAATGGCCTGTGCATGCACACAGCCGTATCATGCATGGAACCAGGAGCATAGCCCGGTGACTTGGAGAGCAGTGTCAGGCTGGTAAGTCTGGTATGGGGGAAGGGGTGGTGGGATGGAAGGGGTATGTGGGGGGCAGATGAAGGCCCCTGTGGTGAGGGAGAGTGGGGCTGAGGCTGAGGCAGGTGCTGCAGGGCAGCTGCCCGGCTGCAAGCAGCTTGTCTGGGGAGACTGGGGGGGGGGAAGGGGGCTGCTTCCGCTGCTGCACACACCCCAGGAGGGCATGGGGGTGCATGCCCCTGGATCTGCGTGTGGGGTGGGGCAGACTGCTGCTGGGGCTGGGGCAAGGGCTGTACTAGGCTCTTCCTGGCGCGAGGGGTGGGGGGTGGGGTGCTGCTCCCGGGCTGCACTCAGGGTAGGTGGTGGCAGCGCTGGGAGGGCTACAGCAAATTTTGGGGTGACTGCAGCCCCCCCATGTCCCCCTCCCAGCACCTCTGCTGTTTGCCCTGAGTGCAGTCTGGCCCAGCCCCCCCGCTGAGAAGAGCCGGGCGCAGCCCTGGCCCCAACAGCAGCCTGCCCTGCCCCGTGTGCAGATCCAGGGGCACATGCCCCCATGCCCTCCTGGGGTGCATGCAGCGGTGGAAGCCGCCCCCACCCCACACCTCCCAGATGATTTGCTCATGGCTCCATCCTGCGTCCCACCCCGGCTGAGCAGCACCTGCCCCAGCCCCCACCCCACTCTCTCCCTCATTGCGGGAGTCTTGATCTTCCCCCCGTCCCACAACCCTTCCCTCCCCTTGCCCCAGCCCCTCCCTCCACCCCTGACCCTGCACCAGACTTACTAGTCTGACACTGGTCTTCCAGCTGCCCGGCTGCATAGCGGATTGGTATCGGCCCATATGACTCCTTAACAATTGGCCAACTGTACTGGCCCAAAAAATCTCTATTGGTGCACCCTATGTAGGGCGCACTGAGATAGCACATGCCCAGCTCTCCCCACTAGCAGTGCAAGCTCCTTCATCAGCTTTATCTCCATTCAGATCATCTGACATTGTACAACGCTCCATGGATTATCCGATGTTGTGCAACACGCAACGTTCCCTCCACAAAATTCCCGGTTTCCATCACACTGCACAAGTGCACGGTGGGTCATGGGGCCTCCTGTGGGCGCTCTGCTTCCATGACAGCTATGGGGGAGCAGAAGGGACGACAGCGACGGGAGCAGCAGGGCCTCTGAGGGCCAAGGAAAGAAACCTTCAGGGCTGTGACTGGAGCTCCAACAGCTCAGGGAGACTCGGGCTGGGGTCACTCTTTAAGGGCATTCCCGCTGAGGCTGGTTAATCCTTGCTAGCAAACAAAACCTGAAGATGTCTCACTAGTAAGCTTCAGAGCTGAAATCCTAGAGGGGCTGCGCTCAGCGATCCTCAGCAGCAGATGCACCCCCACCCAGCGCTCCCAGAAGCAGCGAGCGGCTGTGGCAATCCTGAGGGGAGACCCTGATAAGCGATCCCTAGAGGTGGCAGAGCAGCTCTCCCAGGGCAGCAGCAGCAGCAACTCCAGGTGGCTGTGAGCTCCAGCCTGAGGTGACAACCCCGAGGCAGCAGAGACCCCAGGAACACACCTCAGCAGGTACTACAGCAACCCAGGAAGAAACTCTTCCCTCTCCGAACCGTAGCAACCCCCGTAGGAACAGAGTTTGCAGCTAGAAGCGGCAAAACCTCCAGAAGTTGAATACTCTAAGAAATTTAATATTCGAGAGATTTGATCATTGGAAGCGTTGTTTAAAAGCTGGGTTACTTCATCCTTAGGATGTTTGATAAGGTTTATTTTGCTCTTCCATTTAATAACTCTTGCACTCAGCTCCGTATCCAAATGCTTGCGCGGGAGAGCGCTGCTCGTTTGGTGTCTCCAGCAAGAGTGAGTTTTCCCCAGGTTTCTGGGTCAGGGCTGGAGCCAACCCATTTGAACCCAGCCCCTCGCTCCGCCGCTGAGGCCCGGCAGCAGCATTACACAAGTAACACGTGTCCACGCCCTGCAGCCGCTTGGGGCGCCACACACGTTCCGCCGGCCCCTGCCTTACGC